CTAAGCTGCCATAATTGAAGAGAGATGTTCATGCTGAGTAACTGTGCACGTAATTACTCTAATCCTGGCCGCGGCATATCGAGGAAAGGTAGGTCAAGTTTGTCATTTAAAAGAGTGTAATATTCTTGGGTGTCCCTTGAGACGCGCACTCCTTAATCCCCACCACCGCTCCAATGCAAGCACGCACGCGCATCCCCCCAACACACACACACACACACACACACACACACACACACACACACACACACACACACACACACACACACACACACACACACACACACACATATACACACACACACACATACCATGCAAGGTGATGGAGAAGATTGTGAGAAAAAACCTAGTAACACATCTGGAGAGAAGAGACTTCGTGACAACCCATCAACATGGGTTCAGGGAGGGTAAATCTTGCCTTACAGGCTTGATAGAATTCTACGATCAGGTGACAAAGATTAAACAAGAAAGAGAAGGGTGGGCGGACTGCATTTTTTTGGACTGTCGGAAAGCCTTTGACACAGTACCCCATAAAAGGTTGATGCATAAGCTGGAGAAACAGGCAGGAGTAACTGGTAGGGCGCTCCAGTGGATAAGGGAGTACCAAAACAATAGGAAGCAGAGAGTTACAGTGAGGGGTGAGACCTCAGACTGGCGTGAAGTCACCAGTGGAGTCCCACAGGGCTCTGTACTTGGACCTATCCTGTTTCTGATATACGTAAATGATCTCCCAGAGGGTATAGACTCATTCCTCTCAATGTTTGCTGACGACGCCAAAATTATGAGAAGGATTAAGACAGAGGAGGACAGCTTGAGGCTTTAAGAAGACCTGGACAAGCTGCAGGAATGGTCGAACAAATGGCTGTTAGAGTTTAATCCAAGCAAATGTAATGTAATGAAGATAGGGGTAGGAAGCAGGAGACCAGATACAAGGTATCACTTGGGAGATGAAATACTTCAAGAGTCCAAGAGAGAGAGAGAGACCTGGGGGGTTGATATCACACCAGACCTGTCCCCTGAAGCTCATATCAAGAGGATAACAGCAGCAGCATATGCCAGGTTGGCTAACATAAGAACGACCTTTAGAAACTTGTGTAAGGAATCTTTCAGAACATAATATACCACATATGTCAGACCAATTCTGGAGTATGCGGCACCAGCATGGAGTCCATATCTAGTCAAGCATAAGACTAAAATGGAAAAGGTTCAAAGGTTTGCCACCAGACTAGTACCCGAGCTGAGAGGTATGAGCTACGAGGAGAGACTACGGGAATTAAACCTCACTTCGTTGGAAGACAGAAGAGTTAGGGGGGACATAATCACATCATTCAAGATCCTCAAGGGAATCGACAGGGTTGATAAAGACAGGCTGTTTAACACAAGGGGCACACGCACTAGGGGACACAGGTGGAAACTGAGTGCCCAAATGAGCCACAGAGATATTAGAAAGAACTTTTTTAGTGTCAGAGTGGTTGACAAATGGAATGCATTAGGAAGTGATGTGGTGGAGGCTGACTCCATACACAGTTTCAAGTGTAGATATGATAGAGCCCAATAGGCTAAAGAATCTGTACACCTGTTGATTGACGGTTGAGAGGCGGGACCAAAGAGCCAGAGCTCAACCCCCGCAAACACAACTAGGTGAGTACAACTTGGTGAGTACACACACATCATTATCAGCGGCATATGCTAGACTGGCCAACATACGAACTGTCTTTAGAGACTTGTGTAAGAAAACGTTGAGAACCCTGTATACCACTTATGTCAGACCAATCCTGGAATATTCAGCTCCAGCCTGGAGTCCATACCTAGTTAAACACGAGACAAAGTTAGAGAAGATTCACCGGTATGCCACCAGGCTCGTCCACGAACTGAGAGGTATGAGCCACGAGGAAAGGCTAAAGGAGCTGAACCTCACGTCCCTGGAAAACAGAAATGTAAAGGGAGACATGATAACCACTTACAAAATTGTCAGGGGAATTGACAGGGTGGACAAAGACAAACTCTTCAGCACGGGTGGGACACGAACAAGTGGACACAAGTGGAAACCGAGTACCCAGATGAGCCACAGAGACGTTAGAAAGAATTTTTTCAGTGTTGGAGTAGTTAATAAATGGAATGCATTAGGAAGTGATGTGGTGGAGGCTGACTCCATACACAGTTTCAAATGTAGATATGATAGAGCCCAGTAGGCTCTGGAATCTGTACACCTGTTGATTGACAGTTGAGAGACGAGAGATCAAAGATACAAAGCTCAACCCCCGCAAGCACAATTAGGTGAGTACAATTTGGTGAGTATACACACACACACACACACACACACACACACACACACACACACACACACACACACACACGCACATACGCACACACACGCACATACGCACGCACACGCACACACACACACACACACACACACACACACACACCACACACACACACACACACACACACACACACACACACAGGTTGGGGGCCTCGTAGCCTGGTGGATAGCGCGCAGGACTCGTAATTCTGTGGCGCGGGTTCGATTCCCGCACGAGGCAGAAACAAATGGGCAAAGTTTCTTTCACCCTAAGTGCCCCTGTTACCTAGCAGTAAATAGGTACCTGGGAGTTAGTCAGCTGTCACGGGCTGCTTCCTGGGGTGTGTGTGTGTGTGTGTGTGTGTGTGTGTGTGGTGTGGGGAAAAAAAAAGTAGTAGTTAGTAAACAGTTGATTGACAGTTGAGAGGCGGGCCGAAAGAGCAAAGCTCAACTCCCGCAAAAAAAAAACACACAAAAAAAACACAACTAGTAAACACACACACACACACACACACACACACACACACACCACACACACACACACACACACACACACACACACACACACACACACACACACACGCACACACGCGCGCACACACACACACACACACACACACACATACATACACAGCCACGTCGATGGAAGTGGAAGAGTAAGTATTGTGGAAGAGGCAGCGTGGGTGGGGGATGGGGGTGGAGTACCGGCCGTTTAGGAAGGCAGGTATGGTCGCCTTCCCAATCCCCTGATTGGTCGCCTTCCCAATCCCCTGATTGGTCGCCTTCCCAATCCCAAGATATTCCTGGAGGAATATCACTCCTACTGATGGTCTGACCTGATCACATCTCAGTCTCTCGTCTCACGGTGGACGTTCGCTCCTAATGTAGGTCCCGTTTGGCGCCTTGTGTTGAAGAGTGAGCTCCTTTGCGTGCGTGTGCGTGCGTGCAAGACAAGTCATCACTAGTCATCAACACAAGAACCATCGTTGGTATTCATTAAACAGTAAACCCGATAAAAGACTTACATCTGTTGTTTTGTAATATGGTTATGTTGACCATTGACATGGCCGCTGACGACGCCGTTGACACGGCCGCTGACGCCGCCGTTGACACGGCCGCTGACGCCGCCGCTCACGCCGCCGCTGATGCCACCGTTTTTTTTTTTTTGGCCGGGATATTCCTGCGCGGGTTCTAAGCCTCTGGCTGACCCACTAAGTGTTGCTTGTTTCTGTTTTACTTGGGCGGAGTATTTATGACTCGTATGGTCACTTCAGTAAGATTTTGCCATAAGTGTTTAACAACTTCTTCTGCTCTGTTGAATCCAAGTTGAAAACTTAGTGTTTGTAACTGTGCACTGTGTTAGATAATGTTCCAGTGGTCTGTCGGGCATTTCTCTACAGTGCGACGCTACCGTTGTCACGGCCGTTGACGCCACCGTTGTCACGGCCGCTGACGCCACCGTTGTCACGGCCGCTGACGCCACCGTTGTCACGGCCGCTGACGCCGCCGTTGACAGGGCCGCTGACGCCGCCGTTGACAGGGCCGCTGACGCCGCCGTTGACAGGGCCGCTGACGCCGCCGCTAATGCCGCCGTTAATAGGGCCGCTGGCGCCACAGCTGACGCCACCGCTGACACGTCAGCTAGCAGAACTGTGGAATAATACAACAGTAAGCCGTCAGGAGCCGTCTCGGCTGTGCCAAGGCCCACCATACCCCCACCTCCTGCAGCCCAATATGTCTAATCCCATGCAATATAAAACAGCGATACATAATGCAAGTCACAACAGCATGATCAAACAACGTAAAACAAATAATTACGCGAAGAAATCGCACCAACGTCCTCCACCCTTGATAACGGGCACAGAAACAGTAATGTACCCGCACACATCACTGTACCCGCACACATCACTGTACCCGCACACATCACTGTACCCGCACACATCACTGTACCCGCACACATCACTGTACCCGCACACGTCACTGTACCCGCACACATCACTGTACCCGCACACATCACTGTACCCGCACACATCACTGTACCCGCACACATCACTGTACCCGCACACATCACTGTACCCGCACACATCACTGTACCCGCACACATCACTGTACCCGCACACATCACTGTACCCGCACACATCACTGTACCCGCACACATCACTGTACCCGCACACATCACTGTACCCGCACACATCACTGTACCCGCACACATCACTGTACCCGCACACATCACTGTACCCGCACACGTCACTGTACCCGCACACATCACTGTACCCGCACACATCACTGTACCCGCACACATCACTGTACCCGCACACATCACTGTACCCGCACACAACACTGTACCCGCACACATCACTGTACCCGCACACATCACTGTACCCACCCTTTATTGTAATGACCCTTTTAATTAACCGAAGTGGATCAAAGGTTGTTTTTGTTTTTCTAAGGTACCGAGGCCAGCACTGGTCCACTATCATAACATACTAGTAGATTATACAGGAGCGAGGTTTAATTCCCTAATGACCCTGAATTAATAAGGTGGTAGACCTAACAAGAGCCAGGTAGGGCCCTCACTCACCCTACAGAAATACTTATAGACCTAACAAAAGCCAGGTAGGGCCCTCACTCACCCTACAGAGATACTTATAGACCTAACAAGAGCCTGGTATGGTCCCTCACTCACCCTACACGGAGCTCTCCTTCTGGCTAGCAATGAGTGGCACCGTCGCCTCGTGGTTACTCGTGTAAGGATCGCGTCTCAGTGAGTGCCGCCGGACTATCGCCGTCGCAGGTGTCCAGATTGGCTGCTGGGCCGCCTGTGGGTGTCCCGCGGGCGTGTGGTGCGGGTGGTGGTGGTGGTGTGGCGTGGGCGTACTGGAGGCTGGTAGCGTGTGCTGGTACGCCGAGGAGTGGTGCTGCTGCTGGGGCGCGGGGTACCGCGCTCCCTGGTCAAAAGCTGCGTACAGGACAATCTGTGGCTGGTGGCAGTGGTGTGGCTGTGCTGCGGCAGCTCCAGGCAGGAAGTGCTCGGCGTAGTGGGCGCTGCTGCCGCCCACACACGCCTGCTGGGAGGAGGAAGACACAGGGGAGGTTAGTTAGGATCGGTGATACAGTTTGGTTTGCCTTAAGGTCTTTTCAGCAGGTACGTAACATCAGACAACGACTCGTCTCATCTCTAATATTTACGTCAAACCAATTCACCTGATCGGATACGTTATTCTGTCCGATGCCCATGTCCCATTACCATCCCTGACCTGAGAGTGACCTCCAAAGGGCAACGATCATCATAACTGACGTGTTGAGATGAGCGTTCTCGAGCTCTCTATAACAGCCTCCGAGAGACGAGGCTAAAAGTGTAATTGACCCAACCGGCACACGACGATACAAATCTTACTGGTGACCTCAGTGATCAAAATAACGGAATGGCTTATCCAGTACCTTGCCAACGGGGCTCACACCCTCGAGTGACAACGGTCTTTCGCCCTCGAAGACAATATCAGACTAACAAACGAAAAGACTCTCACTCGGCTCAAATTGAAAAAAAAGTTAAGAACGATGCTTAAATCATTTTTTTTAAAGCTTCAAAATCGGTAAATTTCATAACAGTTCCTGACTTGTGATTGTTAACGGTAAAATATGGATTTGTAATTAAATTTCCGCGGCCACTTCCGCTCAACGATGCCCTTGTGTGCAGCTGGGTGTGTACTCACCTAGTTGTGCTTGCAGAGGTTGAGCTCTGGCTCTTTGGTCTCGTCTCTCAACTGTCAATCAACTGATGTACAGATTCCTGCGCCTACTGGGCTCTATCATATCTATACTTGAAAAGCCTCCAGCAAATCACTTCCTAGTGCAATCCATTTACTAACTACTCTGACACTTAAAAAGTTCTTTCTAATGTCTCTGTGGCTCATTTGGGTACTCAGTCTCAACCTGTGTCCCCTTGTTCGCGTACCACCCGTGTTAAACAATTTATCCTTGTCTACCCTGTCAATTCCTCTAAGAATTTTGTAGGTAGTGATCATGTCTCCTTTTACTCTTCTGTCTTCCAGTGTCGTGAAGTGCATTTCACACAGCCTTTCCTTGTAACACATGCCTCTTAGTTCTGGGACTAGCCTAGTGGCATATCTCTGAATTTTTTCCAGCTTCGTCTTGTGCTTGACAAGGTACGGGCTCCAAGCTGGGGCCGCATACTCCAGGAATGGTCTTAGATATGTGGTATACAATCTTTTGGATGATTCCTTAAACAGATTCCTGAAGGCTGTTCTGATGTTAGACAGCCTCACATATGCTGCAAATGTAATTTTTTTATGTGTGATATCACACACATAAAAATCACACTTTTGGTATGATATCACACTTTTGGTGTGATATCATCTCCTAGATCTTTCTCTCTGTCTGTTTCATGAAGTAGTTCCTCTCCAATTCTCTATCCTGTGTCTGGCCTCCTGTTTCCATCGCCTATTTTCCTTACCTTATATTTACTCGGGTTGAACTTTAGTAGCCATTTGTTGGCTCATGCATTCAGTCTGTCTAGGTCATATTGTATCCTCATACTATCTTCCTCTGTTTTAATCCTCCTCATAATTTTTGCATCATCAGCAAACAATGAGAGGAACTATTCATTACCCTCTGGGAGATCATCATATTACAGTATAGGTCCAAGGATACACAGTAACTGTCTCTATTTTCCGCCTGTTACAAGTATAGGTCCAAGGACTGAACGTTGTTACAACCTATATTGGTTGCTGGTTAGGAGGGACTCCGAACGTTGGTGACGGGTGAACCCTCGGACTCCAATCCCCAATCTGAGACCTCACCCCTCACAGTGACGTGCTGTCTTCTGTTGCTTAGGTACTCCCTTATCCAACGGAGTACCTTCCCTTTCACTTTTGACTGCATCTCCAGCTTTTTCACTAGCCTCTTATGTGGTACAGTGCCAAAGGCTTTCTGGCAATCCAAAAATATGCAGTCTATCCACCCTTGTCTTTCTAGCCTGATTTTTGTTGCCTGGTCGTAGAATTCAATTAATCCTGCGAGGCAGGACTTGCCATCCCTGAACTCATGTTGATGCACTGTTACAAAGTTCTCTCGCTCCAGATGTTCCACTATCTGTTTATCGCACAATCTTCTCCGTCAGCTTGCATGGTATGCAAGTTAGGGACACTGGCCTGAAGTTCAGTGCCTCCTGTCTATCC